CCCGCACCCCCCCCCCGCCACCCCCCCCCCGCCGCGCTCCTGGCCAACCAACCCCGCCCCACTACGGCGCGGCGGCAGGGACAAACCGCGCCGGGAGCCAGAATGCGCGGGGCGCGGGCTGTGAGCAGGCCGCTCTCTTTTTCTTGCCTCCTCCTGCGGCGGCACCGAGTCACCGACGCGGGTGGGAAGCGAGCCTCGGGAGTTGCGGGACCAGGCCCGGCACACGATGGTTTGGGGTGGGTTTCTCCATCTCCGCTGCCCGCCGGTGTAGGTGTTCTGACCAGAAGTGTTGCTCCGCCAATTCTACAGGTGAATTAAGTGAGCGCAGAAACTGAGGTTTTTGTTTTGTTTTGTTTTTTTCAAATGTCACTTGGCAAGAACATGGTGCAATAAGCCGAACTTTTGTTTTCTGCTTCGCCCCGTCTTCTCACCCATCTTTTCCCCTTTTCCCCAGCTACCACCTAATGTCTGGAAAACATTTCATTTTCTTTTTCTTTTTCTTTTTCTTTTCTACCGTACCAGGAGTTAATCAGCTGTGAAAGCCTCTGGACAGGATTTTTTGTATTCTCCCATTATTGATTTAGTGTCTTGGTGAAACACTTAATTCTCACCATACAAAGAAAATGTACTATGACTTTTCAGAACACAGGTTCTCTCTTCTTTCTGGAGCTGTTGATCTTCTCTTTTGAACATAGATCCAGTAATATTGGTTTTTTTCCCCCAAAGCTTAGGCTAGGAGGCCTAAAGAGGCAAGATCCACAAACCCGATCAAGTTCACCTGCCTGTCTCAGAGTTCAAGCGCAGGCATGGCCAGGAAAGTTGAGCCATGTTGTGCCCGTGTTCCCAGGCAACTGTCATATTAACCAGGAGCATCCAACTGTGCTTGATTAGTATTTGAAGCAGAAAAGGAACCTAAAATAGTTATCTGCGGGAGCAGTCTTGCAAAGTTTTACTTGGCTGCCTGGCTTCAGCACATAATACTTTGATAAGTGAGTATTCTGTGTTTTATTGTTATCAATCTCCATTATAAAGACTGGGCAAACAGATTTTTCATGCCTAGCCTGGTAAATTTTTAATGATGATTTTGCAAATCCAGCTAGGGACATGGAGCCTTCCTTTTTGTTTTATTTCTTAGGAGTTCATACCTTGTAATTTTTTTTTTTTACTAGTCATCAGAAACTGCTGAGCTATTTTGCCTTCTGCTCAATAAGCTGCTTTCTAGCTAGCTTAAGGGTATATTTAGTTACAGTTTCTGGTATGTACTTTCATTGTTTGATGCCAGTGAACAAAATCCTACTTTCTTGCTTCATACGCTACTAACCTCAGAAACACCTCTATTTTGAATCATGGACATTGAGATTGGCAAGTTTTGTACCTTTAGCTCCTCTCTTTCATGGTTTGAGACCAAGTCATGAACCCAAATCTTAGCTAATTTTTTTTTTACCTTGTTTTGCCATAGATCTCAAAGCAACGTCATGTGCTGTTCCTGGTGGCATATTAACCTTCATGCAGGAAGGCATGTGTTGCTGAGCACTTTGGTGTAGTGTGATTTGCACCTGGGAAGACAATTCCCATCTTGTACAATCAGGAAGATTATGTCATCACATCTGTTATTAGGCAACCTAAAGAGTGTGTTATTTCCTGAGTGACAAAACCCCAATGACCTCAGGAAGGTGGTCTTCAAAGGATAAAAGTAATCCACATCCAGTGGACTCCTTAAAGATTTCAAAGCTTTAAGAGTGAAAATAAAATTAAGATGTCATTGGCTAATGATTCTCTTTTGTTTGTTTGTCATCTAAATGAAGAAGGATTTTGATCTAAAACACCACATACCTTGCTATCAGTAGATTCTTTTAAATACTGCATTGCTTTACGCTTTCATAGTGTACTATGACAGAGCTGTTTCAGCTGTATAACTCATGGAAATCAGCGAGATGCTGCCCTTGCGTTTTAATCAAGATGAACTTGAAAGGTGAACATTGTAAGTGGTAGAAATTATTTATAATTTGCTAATAAAAGTTTATGTCTAACACTCCAAATTTCATACATCTGCTATATGCTGGCCTTGAGATGTAGAACAATTGCAATTGCCTTTACATTTGGTCCTAGATGAAAGGTCATAAATTACAATGATAGAGTTCGTAGTTGTTCCCTGCTCACAAAATTTCCATATTAACATCTTCACCTCAAACATAAATGGTTACAAAGTTACAAAGAAATAGTTGTGTTGGCCTTTGTCAACCGAACTTAATGATGGAAGTCAGTGGATCATGTGCTATTGCTAACTCTTAAACATAAAGCATTGTAGAATCCTTGTTCAGGGGACCTAATTAAAACTTTACAGTTAACTTTAAAAACGAAATGGGATTTGACAGTCTCTTTCTCTTTCTTCAATGCAACCAAAACCACTTCAAAGTTAGGAAGGTATTTCTCTCCCAGCTACTTGAAATACAAGCATTTCCATAGAGCGAGATGGCTACAGAACACAGAATGTGTTAAAAGGAGTGTCCAATTTTTCTGTTTCTTGTGAAGTGCATACCATTTATGTAAGTTAAATGCAGAACAACAGCAATCCAGATGACAAAAGAATGTCTGTGGCAGATTTTGAATTCAGCCTAAATAATCCCTGTCTACAACCAGCAGATGAAAAGATGATGATATATTAAATGGTCAGAGAGAACAAACCCATTCTGGCCAAAATCACAGCATACCCCGTGATTTTAGCAATCAACTTTGGTTACTTCTTAGATTAGAAAGAAAAGAAAAAAATAGGAAAAACATTTGAAAATTATGCAATAAAATAAGGGGCCGAGAACAAGTTCCAAATCCAGAGAAACTCTTCTTGTTCAGAGCCTCTGAGAGTATGGGGGCAGAAGGAGAGGTCAGCCTCCATGAAATTGTGTCAAGGCGGAGAAGCTCTGCAATCCAAGATCAGCACTGTTATTGCAGGGTTTCCTGAGGGCCCTGAAGTAAACTCGCTGCTACATTTCTGGAGTTTGAGAGGTGTAAGGTGAGATTCTGAAGCCAGTGCAAGTTTTGCTAATTACTTCTCTGTACTAAGGATGCCTCTAAAAAATATTGAAAATACACCTGAAATACCAAATCAATCTCGATGAGCTGGTACCAAAAGGTAACTGTTAGACTGATAGTTGTCACAGCTTGTTTTTAGAAACTTCTCAGCAGTGGATCCTAACTGCTGGCCTGATCCAGAACTTTTCCAGTGGATTCAGGATAAGACTCTTAGGTGCAGATCCTTTCCATGCACTTCAGATCAAGAGAGCACCATACATGCTTTCTCCACAGCTATCTCGCCACGTTCCTAAGGCAGAACTGTCCACATTGATGCCTTGTGCTGCTCACTCCCATGACAAGAAAGCTTTTGCAAACCGAGTGGCTTGTCTGCCTTTCAGTCCTGCAATAGCTCCTGTGCCAGAAGAGGGGGGATTAGCTTTCCCCTTGTTGCTGTGGACCCCGAGGCCATTGTCTGATAGCAAGCTTTTGGGTGTGATTTGCTGAGGGCTCTGTCTCACTTAGCATTGCAAGAGATTGCAATCTCGCTGAAGCTGACCTCGCAACTGCCTTGAAGTTGGCATAACCTTCGTGTTCTCTGTCCCTTTCTTTATCCTTCTAGAACTGTGTTCTTTTGCTATGATTTGTGCTTCTTAGAAGTCTTCTGATGTTCTGAGGGTGAGAAATAGGACATTAAGGAATAGAAGGGTGCAGGAAGAAGCAACAAAAGGAAGTATTAGGACCTCCCTCGTTTTCCTCCT